TAGGTGCACCATTAAAATTTTCAGTTTTATTATCTACTAATCTACTTGACTAAATACATATATTTACTGTCTTTATTTTATATGTTACATCGCTCGGTATTAACATCTACAACTCTCTGTTTATCAATAGAAACAATTTGAGCATTTCTCATCTCATTCAGTCTCAACATGGATCTACGTAATATATTTTCTTTTTCCTGAATAGTTTTACATAAAAATTATAATAAGTACACTTAAAAATTATACCGTATTTTGTTAGTTTTGTAACAGAGCCTCACACAAGATGATTAAGATTTCTATTTTGAGCGTGTTGCTGCCGCACCTAGTTTATACCATAGTACGTAGTACAACTGAGATAATCCAAGAACGCAATACCAATAACAATAATAACAACGACGAATGCGGTATCACTAGCTACTACACCGATAGCACAAATAGTCTGATTCCCAACAGTGAATACGCATTACCAGGCCAGTGGCCGTGGGTGGTTGCACTCAACGTAGATGATCAATTTGGATTTCGGTGTGCTGGTTCCATTTTGACAAACATACATATTCTAACAGGTATGCTAATAAAAAAATATTCGATATTTCTAATACTCTTCGTGTATCAAACCATATGAACTTCTTATCTACATCTTCCTCCTTTCATAGCAAGATACTTATCTTTATCTATTTATATTGCATAATAAAATAGAATCCCATAAATTTTCACAATTTATCTGAAAACAATCGGGGAATGTGCAACGAAGTATCTGAGAAAATTACCTAAACAGCACATACTACAATACGTTTTCAAGATCATCCTTAATACATCCAGAATGTTTTGAAATATTTTTAGGAAGTTCTTCATGCTGTATTATTATAAATATTCCATATGTATACATGATTATTTTCTGTAATATTAATTTTAAATATTTAATTTAAGTATCACGTATAAGATATACAATACGTGAAAGGTATACAAAACGTCACTGGATAAAGAGTGCGGATATTATTAGAAATTGTATTTTACACATATATTTTCTTTTTATAGCGGCAAAATGTTTGGAGATGTATAACGCTCAATACGATATTATGAAGGTGGCTTTCGGACAATTTAAACTCCGCCGATTTAAATACGGTTTTAGTAGAATAGTGGGGACCGTGAATCGGAAAATCGCGAGCTACAAGATCCATCCCGATTTCGTGCACACAAGCGAGAACGCGACCGATTCCGATCTGGTGATTTTAACTCTCAATACGCCAGTCAAGTTTAGCGCTTTCATCAGACCTATTTGCCTGTGGTCCGGTTTAACCGATCTTCAAAATGTCGTCGATAGAACAGGATATGTCGTGGGATGGGTCAGAAACAAGTATTATAGTCGTAAACCAGTCTCCGAACCACGGATGCTGAGGATACCGATAGTGAGTCAGGTAAGTACCTTCGAGACAGCCAGATTTTCTCCTTTTATTGATCAATCAATATACAAATTAAGTCCCAAATCCAAACAAGGTTTTCTAAAAACAAAACGTTCTAAACGTAGGATACCTTGTTGATAACAAATCTGATATTTATATCGCAGAATATGCTTAAAGATTTTTTAGACCGTTAATGCCATGCACGATACTCCATTTATTAGTTTCACTACGTTTATACCAATTACGTTTCGCTACGTCCATCCGCACAGTTATGTGCTATTATAAAATTATTATTTGTTGCATAAATTCATGTCATTGGATGCCTTAAGTTAAAATTAAATTAATATGCCAATTGTTTGGAAATCAATGAGCGCGATCGTCGATCACGAAGTAAAAATGCGTCTTCGAATTTTCGTAAACGCTCTCGCCATAACACAATTTCGCAGAATAGCGAGATGCTAACGTAAAACTTTGACGAATTTCGCGTTGTCATCGTATAGAATTGTACGAATGATGAAGATCCGACTTTGTTGCGCAAATTGCAGGAGACCTGTCTCCGGAGTGATCAGGATTTCGGCAGTATCACCTCGAACCGTACTTTCTGCGCTGGTTTGCTAGGCGAGAGCAATTTTTGCGACGCTGACGGGAGCGGGCTGGTGCTTTTCAACAACTCCACGGGCCGTTATCACTTGCGCGGCGTCTTGTCGGAATACTTTATGGATTTATCTTATTCGTGCAATGTCAACAGGTACAGCGTCTACGTGGACGTGGCTAAATACTTACCCTGGATTCACCAACAGATTTCCATCACATAACGCTGGTCTCTCGCCGCAAAACGCAAAATGTACCAGACGACAAGTTTAAAAAAGAGAAAAGAGACAAATTTTTAAATAAATTCTTACGTGACAATGACGGTTTGGGTAGTTAACTCATCAGACTTGCATCAGCGGATATCCCAATTTTCTTCCTTCTCGCAAAATCATTTAAGTGAAGAAGATGCTCGAAGCATATTTATCTTCTATTTTCTTCATTGCGTTCATCTAAGATGATTTGCGTGCTGCCTTGTAAATTAAAGATATGACTCGAATCGTGATCACCTTGAATCCCGATACTTCAATACTATTTTATTCGAACGCATCTTCAAAGACACAAACGTGTTTCGAAACGTTTTGATAGAGAACTATGGTTAGTCTCATGAAAATTCGGTGAGTACCTACGAGCGTAATTCCAAGAATTAGTATGCTGAATATCACCGCAGCGTTTATTCCCGTCATTAAGAAGCACTTTAGGATACTTCGCAAAAGTGTCTCAAAGAAATAAATGTCAGGAAAAAAAGTACAAAAATAAATATAAAATAAATAAATAGGAGATACGTAAAGGAGGTATCGACTATATAACTCGAAACGCCTGAAGGCATATTCTAACTATTGATAAGAAATGGCACAGTATAGGTACTCTGATAAAAGAGGCGGAAATAAAAAATACCGCAGGAAAGAGATAATAATGAAGCCGATAAAGTAAAGGCAGACAGTTATACGCGAGACTCGCGCTGACTCTCAT